AATTTACGCAGCTCATTTACACACTTTTCCTGAAGATAGAAGAGATTGTTGAATCTGACGTGACATGTTCGTACGAACCCTTTGTACGAACAAAAGTAAGAGAAATTTAGGATAAAAATACGAACGTTTCTTGCATGAGGCCCATTGATTTGTGAAAGTGTTCCTGAGCCCACACAGTCATGTCCAGAACAGAATCTGATCTGTTCACAAGCAACAAATAGTTTCAGTCTTTAGAGATTTATCCAGATTCTTTAACTCTTTTGATATTATAAACTTTAGATGATAGAATATTTAAAATGTTTTTGTTTCCACATTATTTAGAAATTGTTGCACTATTTTAGACAGATTTACAAACTGGTGAGCCTCTGCCTATCTTTACATGTAAGATATTTAACCTGTCTAAATTCTATTTGTATACCCAGTCCTCTTACTGATTTGTTGCCAGTTCACATAATCAGTCATAAATTTCTCCTCCAGCTGTTTTTATTCATCTCATTACTCTTACGGCCTTTTCTTGCCTCTGTCCCAATTTTTGAGACTTCTTGCTGCCATCAAATTCAAAACCACCTATTTTTTCCCTAAATTTTTTTCAATTCCTTAATTTAAACATTTGATATGTTTACTTTGTAACATTGTTCGTCAGCTTGTCACCAATAATGTCAACCTTTTTTAGACTTTTAGCGTAATCCTATTCCAATATTTTAATCATCACAGTTGACAATAATTTATTTTGCTTTTTTTTATGTATTGTTTATAAAGTATCTCTCATTATTGGTTTCTCATTTGCAATTTACAAAAATGCTGTTTTTTTTCCCTCTTTGTTTCCTTCCTGCAGGAAACAGCTGCAAGGCCTCACAAGCTAAGAAGAGCAGCTTCCAGCCTGTGGAGCGGTGATTCAGAGGAGCAGGGTCAGAATTATTGCCATTTTACATAACTGGTCCATCAGTTCTCCACCTCCCACAAGCACCACACCTTATGACTGTGACCTTGTTATTTAACGTGTTGAAAAGTCCCCGTTTTTCTCTCTTCTTGTGTGTGTGTGTGTGTGTGTGTGTGTGTGTGTGTGTGTGTGTGTGTGTGTGTGTGTGTGTGTGTGTGTGTGTGTGTGTG